AGGTTGCGCACACTTTGCTGTCAATCGAGAAGGACCGCCAACGTGGTCAACTGCAGCTTTGAGTTGCTCGTGACTTGAGACACCTGGCCCTGCTCTCCGGCCCCTCCTGCAAAATCCTCATCTGCTCCCGCAGGGTGCGCTCTGAGTCGAGCAGCTGCGCCTTCTCGCGTGCCGCCTTCTGCACCATCGCCTCCTCTCTCCTGGCCACGGCTGCTGCATGCATTGGAGCCACCTCAATATCTAGATATATAGATATATGTATATATATATATACACATGATGCACATCAGGCAATCAAATACATGATGTATACATAGGTATGGCAGCTACGTAGAACAAATGCCCTGGGAGAAATAAAAGACCTGGCTGCTGCCTCTCAGAAAGCGGCCCAAGTTGTAGGCCAGCTCAATCTATCTCTCTATCCCTCACACCATTATTTTCAACATTTGGTGTGTGAGGAAAAGAAAAGCATCTATTCGCTCCATCACTTCGTTCCCCAATGTAATGCTTGAATGGGAACGAATGGAGTGGAAAGATGGCCCCACACACATGTCTATCTTCAATCGCTTGTGTGTGTGTTCCTTCCATCGCTTCCCTTGGCTTCGCCCGTCATCTCTAAGACACGCGACGGAGGAAAAGGACATATTCTGCGAGAGACGACGCGGAAGGTGGAGGAGCGTGGGTTCTCTTCATCTGTTGGTTATCCCTCTCGTCGCTCGGACATCTACAAACCCACGAACGAATGGAGAGAAGTGAGTGAAGGAAGAAATGATGAAAATAGGCCATGAGAACTCGAGCAAAGTGAGGGAGGAAATGATAAAAAGAGAAATTCTAGCCCCTCCCTTTCCTGGGGAAGATCACTTGCGCTTGTAGATTTCCTTACCTGTACAGCTTTTGGACAGGTCCAGAGGGGACGTATGAGAGGGGGACAGGGTGCAAGTGAGCAAAAGAAAACCCCGCGCTTGTCTCTCCTGCGGGCTTCATCGAGCTGCCGCTCCATGTCCAGCCTCTCAGACAGCCACTGCCTTGGCGAGATTTCAAGGGCGTCCCTTCCTTCGTCCAAGCGGCGCATCACGTGGCTGGGCCACCCGGCCGCTTGGCATCGTCAGGTGCCTTGAGGTGCAGCATCCGCGTCTCGCTCTCTGCCAACTGCTTCTTCAGCACCGCGGCACGCTCGTCGGCGCCCATCTGGCCGAAGTCTCGAACACTCTCGCGTTGCAGTGAGAGGGAGCTGCCCTTTTAAAAAGAAAGAAGAGCCTTCCTTCCCCAGGGCTCTCAAAACTCCGGAACCAACTGAACCATCCAAAAGCATCTCAGCCAACTCGGCCCCACGAACGGGCCAAACGCCTGGAGGTCCTCCCAAAGCTGCTGCGCGCTCTGCAGAAGCTGCGCAGTGAGCCACCCGGAAAGGACCTCCATCCTCGAGGGGCCAGCCGCTTTCTGCAAGTAGAGCTGCTTCAACCGCTCCCAGTCCAAGGCCAAATCACTGAAGCCCTGGTACCTCACGGCAGCTGAATTTCCCACATGTGCACAAGGGGGCCGCTTCCTACTTACGGATTTCCTCAAGCTCCTCATTAACTCGAACCGGCCCAACGGCTTGAAAAAGCCTTGAAAAACGTTTCAGCCTCGAAGTTCGGGTGTTGGAGTTCCTGTGGGACAAAATTCAAAGGTGCCTATATGCCTCCAACTGATTTCAAGCTTGTTTTGAATTTTGGACTGCACGAATCCAGCTTGATGTACCTCAGTCACCTCTCGGTCATGCTCCCCTTTACTACTATCCCCAGCCCCGCCCCCTCCCAAAAAGCCCCTCCGCCGTGCCGCGTGCCGCGGACCTGCAGCTTCTGCTCGATCTGCTTCTGCAGTTCCCGGGCTAGGCGGTCGCACTGCCGCTGCGAGGCGTTCCCGTTCTCAGCGCGCACGTGCTGCAGCAGTTGCTTCGCCCGGGCCGCGAATTGACTCCGACATTCCCGAAACCTCGGCTGCTCGTGGGCAAAGGCTGCAACGGAAAGCGGTGATCCCGTCGCTTCAGGTAGTGTTCAGCACTTTGTGATTGGACTTAAGGGGAATCGAAAGCTGACAAAAAGAAAAGAGCAAGAAGCGCGCACCAGCACCAAATATGGAGCAAGATCCAAGCAGCAAGAACCACCTGTGCAAAGATGCGACGTGCAACAAGCATGCAAAATATACGCTAGAACCAGGTATCAAGACATGGCCGGGCTGCATCAGCTGTGGGCAACAGCGTCGCACTGTTGAAATTGTACGGCTGGGACTGCATTGGCAACAAAGGCGTGATTCAAGCAAAAGCGCAAAGCAACGCGCAATCATCGTGCAAGACCCGTGCTCGAATCAACAACGCCAACAGGAATCGAACCTCCTGTGCCCCAAGAGTGCGCCGGACTCTCGTCGCTTGCCCTCTCCCCAGACCTTGACCGCCTGCAGTTGCACGCGGGCAATAGCCTTCCGTTCCTTCAGTTTCTGGCCGGGCAGCCTCGGGTCGGACTCCAACTTTGTGGCCAGCAGCAGCTTCAAGCCCTCCGCCTTCGCCATCTTGTGAAGCTCCCGCAGCTTGTCATCGGACATGGGCAGCTGCCGCATGGCATCGTTCATCTTGGCGCGATACGCCTGCACCGCATCGCGCAGGCTGAGCCGCAGCTGGTGCTGAATGGCAGACCCCCAGGCAGAGTGGATGGTTGGAACAACGCTGCCGTTGATCGCCTTGCAGTACTCAGAGGCCAAATCCACGAACATGCTGCCCGACACCGTGGCCCCATCAATCTTCTTTGGCTTAAGAAAGGTGTAGACCTTCTTCACGAAGGCCTCTACTTGGCTCCGGAACTGGGGTCTCAGCTTCTCGTAGGGCAGCTTCTGGATGTTCCGGAGGTCGGCTTCATCCGCCACGGGGCGCACCACGGTGACGCAGTCACGCTCCCGGAAGAGGTCCTTGATGACTTCCCGCAGCTTATTCTTCTCCTCACGCCACAGCAAGCTCGGGGAATAAAATCCTAATTGACATTTGAATCATTTTGGGACGTAGCGGCGCACTGCGGATTTGTTAATTTAGAGGTTGACTTATTCTGGTCCAACTCAGATTCTGATGCTTGGCCCGAGTTAATTCTGATCAAGCTTGCGAAGGGGGTTGATCTGCAGCCTTCAAGGCTCTGGTTGGGTCTCGCTGGGCAAGTGATTGGGCCTGCAAGAAGGCCAACGAAACATAACATCAAAAATAGGACCGCGGCGAGTTGACAATTCTTATCAGGACAAGTCAAACGCTCGGAATGGTTGCTGACCGGCTGAATCTTCTTTGGACGAGTAGCTTCTTGACCAGGAACAAGCTGCAATGCTCTTTCCAGGTACTCTTTCTCGCTGATCGGGGAGCCAGACTCATCCGTGATGTCGAGGTGGAAGTCACGCAGGACCCACAGAAAGAGCGGAAAGTACTGAGACAAATCGAGTCTCTTTTCTTCGTCATTCTTCCGCCTGCTCTTCACATGAATGTGCTTGGCCAAATGGAGTACAAGGTGCAAGTCGTCGATAGCCTGCGCACAGCTGCTGTGCATTCGTGCAGTGTCACAGCAAAACAGCGGAACAGCCGCACAGCAACAAGCAGCGACACCAAGGGACAACCCTGCAAAGTCGGCACGGTGTGCGGCTGAGGCACCTGCTCATCGATTGCACCCATGGAGTTGTAAATGAAATAGGATGACAGCAAGATACACAGTGAGAGAATCTGCATATCGCAACTTGCTGTCCGCTGTGCTGAGCCAAGGCCTTCCGTGTCAATCAGGATGCAATGGTAGTCAGGTGCCAGTTGCACTGGCTGTCCCCAGATCCACAGACCCTTGGTGCATGGATTCACGGTGGGGCCTATCTCAAAGCCATCCTGCAACCCCAGCAGGCGATTGAGCAGGAAGGACTTCCCCGTGCGGTACAAGCCTGCGATCCCAACCACAGCCAGCCGGCCGGGAATCTGCTTGAGGATGGCCACGGCATCCTCTTGCAAGTGGCACTTACCCTCGTCATCGATCTGAATCAGCTGCAGCGGTCCGCTGTAGTAGGCGGCTTCAGCCATGGCGGCAACATGGGCACCACGCAACTTGTTAACCCTACTCTGGTGTTGCCCGTTGCCGACCCAAGGGTCTATCAAATTTCAGTGGCAGGTGAAGTTTGAATCGTCTTTGGCAGAGCCGGCTGTTGTTTCAAGTAGGGCTGGTCTGTTGCTTTGCGCTGTTGGCTGATCATTGCCTGCACACGGTCAGTCTAGTTGACTGTTCTGCGCCGTTTCAGCGCAATCGTGGCACTTTGCCTCAAGCTGAATACGTCAGGGTCATCACTCATGCCAGCAAAGCTTCCTGGGAAAGACCGAGGGACCAAATAATTAGCAGGCGATTTCGCCTGGCACTTCCCAACATGTTCTCGCGTGGCTACACTGGGCCTCTCTTGCCACCTCGCTGCTCACATCCCGCAATTGCAGCAGGAGCTTGTCTTGTTCCTCACCGGCCCGAGAAACTCTGCCACTTTCCGCCTGAATCCCACCGGGAAAATGCCCAAACCATGGCACCGCTGGTTTTGGTCACCCGGCCCTGTCCTGCAGCTGGCGCTCTCCAAACTCACGCAGCTGCAGCCGCAGCTCGTCCCAAAGGCCCTGACCGACTGACCCATGTCAGTACAGGCAACCGTCTGGCGAGAGCACTGCCACGAAAGCCCAAGAACTGCCACCAGTTGCAACTAACAGCAACCGGGCGTCCGAGTCTTCCCATGCCGCCATGAGCCACGTCCTGCATTCAGCCAAAGCGGGCGCAAGCAGTGTACTGTACCAAGCAAGGCTCAAACAATGTCACCTTGCCTGGGCTGCAAACCCTCTATGGATGCCAGCACTTGAGCCGAATCGAAGGGCGCAGGATTTGCTCAAGGACTACCATGCCCAGTACCACATATTGCTTGCATCTTCTGCAGTCCCCTTGAGCTGCAACATCAACACACTCCGCGACCAAGCTTCATGCTGGCATTTCCGTCATCAGCATCTTGGCAGTCTCCTCAGCAGAAAAGGCACTGCAAGTGGCGAGGAAAAACATGATTCGTGATGCCTCTGGGTCCTTCATCTGCAAGACCTGCCACAAAGTTTGGAGCCTTTGAACTGCAACATGTGGCGCCGAGCCACCTCTTCCATCCGCAAAGGATTGGGCTGACGCGAGGCATACCTGACACCCATGCTGTCTTTTCATCGGCTGGCCATCATGTCCAGCAGAACTCCAGCAAAAAGCACCGGGCAGAAGTTCGGGTGAACCGGCCTATTGACGACTTCCTCCGACACCCGGAACTCCGCCGGCCAGCTCCTGCGCGGACAGATCGGTGCCTTCCAGTTCGCCCCACGCGATCCGTCTCGTCGAAGCGCATCTCTCCTTTCTCTTTACCATCCGCTGGCCAGTTCTTTCCAGCGGTTACAAATGAATGAAGGAAGAGAATGAATGGTGAGGGAAACGGAAAGGGACAAGGTACACCGCCTCATTCCTCATCTCTTCGTAGCGGTTCTCCCCGCGTGAGCTGAGGCCCCCGGCGCGGGCTGATTCTCGTTGAAGCACGGGCAGGAGTCGACGCAGGGGTGGTCGGCACTAAGCAAGGTGGCAAGCACCGTCATGTAACAGGAGAGAAAGGGCTACTTGGAATCGAGGCTCTGTGTTCAAATGAACCGTTTGCTTTTCTACACTCTCTCAGGCCACGGCTTGGTCTGGAGACAGGCCACCTGCCTAGCCGTCGCCGTCTTAAAGGTCTTACCCTCTAAGCCTGCCGGCAAGCTCCACTTCTCCCACCCGCCCATACGCCGCGTTTCAACTTGGCAGCTGCCTCTCGGAGACTCTCGCAATACCACGCCCGTCGGAAAGTTGGAACTTGAAAGCTTCCACAGGCCAAGCGCCAGCGGCAAAGCGCGACCCGCTCACACGTGCAGCTCGATGTCTCGAGGGGAGATCCTCAACATCCTGCGTAGCGGGAAGTGCCTGGTTCCCCACTCCAGACGAACCCTTCCGGGATCTTTGTGCTAGCAGAGGGGGGGAGGCTCTTGTTTTGCTGTTTTTTCCTGCACAGCTCCACTGATATGCAGTCCATTGGTCCATACCTTGGCTGTCAAGCGCAAGCCTGAGGCAAGCTTGTATGTGCACAGAGCTCTCCATCCATTGACATGAAAAAGAGCTCTACTCCTTTGGGGATGCACCAAGCACTGTCTCATCTATTGGTCGGAGGGGGGGTTGGGGGGGTGGGCACTGAAAAAGTGACTGTCGCCGACGCAAGGGCGGGCAAAACAGCGTACTGCCTTGAACTTGACTGGGGGAAAGAACAGTGTGCAAAAACAAACAAAACAAACTGGGGGAGGATGACCCCAAACTTGGTTGACCGTGTTGCCGTTGCCTGAGTCCACTTTAGTGTTTGTGGTTATGCCCGTATGCTGAAACCCATGGATCCCCGTCAGAAGGAAGAGCGCGAGGATGGTTTTTTGGGGCACTTGGCATTTGGCTGGCAGAACAGATGTCTGAGCAGCAACGGAACGACAAGGTCCCAAAAAGAGACGACACATGTGTGTTGCTCCATTCCAGTTGGATTGAAAGAGGTCTGCATCTACTAACAGAACTTGAAAAAACAAGTTGAAGGTAAATGCTGCAAGAAGATCCCATTCAGCTCTCCCGCCCTGCTCCTGCAAGAGCTCGTGTGGACGTAGAGTGACATCTGGCCCTTGTATGTGCCAATGTCCTTCAACACGAAGATGTCCCTTGCGGTGAAGGTGGACTGCGTCTCCGAATGCCATGGGAACCTCAAGCATTGAAACCGCACTGACCAGAACAATTTGGCCCTCGCTCGACTCGCGCTTGCTGCATGAATGTCCCGCATACAGCCAAGAACGGGACAATAGACAGAAGGCCGGCGCAAGGTGAAACGGGAAACCGTATGAGTGCAGCATCCAGTGCGAAAATGAGAAGAACAAACAACAAGGGCCTTTGGTACAAGCGGAGGTCCCACCCTCACGACTGGAATGGTAGTAGGCCAAACGGCAAGCACTTCGCCGAGGCGCATTGACAATGCCAGGGCAATGTCTTTCCCATCGCCCTCAGACCCCAGATTCTGCAGCACCACCGCTGTGTCACCACCTATGCAAGCCCAAGAGGCACGCAAATCCATGAGCCAAAGCCAAGACACGGGCAGGAAACCCAAGGCCCTCCCCAACCCCCCACCCCCAACCCCCCTTCCCAGAGAAAGGATGAAAAGACTCTGGGGTAGTTCTCCTTCGCCTGTTACTCCATCCATTTTCTCACTCATCTTCAGCCTTTGGAGGCGGCTGATGCCTCCCCAGCCGTCTTTAACAAAGGCTCGGCAACAAACAGGGGAGCAAAGCGTGAACCTCTGCCAAGCCTTGCAGCTGTCGTGCCCAGACTCGCAGGTTCCCGTCACATCCGAACACGCAAAAGCCCTGCTTGCCCAGCGGGTCCTGAAACGCCAGGGATCGGGGCCAAAATAACATGCCCGCTAACTCCTCGCACGTCGACCATTTCACAATCCCCTCTGCCTATTCAAGTAACTTTGCCGACCGTTCGATCTTGAGCGGGTGCCCACAACAAGACAATGTTCCAAATTGCACATTGCCTCCCTGCGATCTGGCGAAGTCTGAGCGCTCCCTGCAAAGTATGCTGAGCAACAGGTTGAACTTCCCTTGGCACTTCTGCTGTTTGGCCTTCCGACCCTATGGGCATGCAAAAGATGCTGCGTCTGCTGTACAGCGGAGCTGTGAACGAACTATTGAAACGCAAACAACCCCATGCCGCGCAAACCAAAGACTCAAGGGATTTGCGCATCCCAGAGCCACAGCAACCGTCCTGGTTGACAGCGATGACTTCGCGATTCTGCAGCATGGCCTTTGTCTCCGCTGGGATCTCCCTCAGATCGTTGGACATGAAGAGCGGCGCAGCGAAGATCGCCCAAAGCGCAAACTGCGTCTGCTCCTCCGAGGGGGAGAGCCCGAAGTTCCCCGCCAGGAGCATATCCGGATCCTCAACTCTCTTTGTGACTTGCCGCCCGGCTCTCTGCGTGGGACTGCGAGGAACACACTGGAAATGAGGCCCCGGCATTCCAATGCCCGGGCCCGGCGGCCTTCACCAGCTCGTCGCTCTCATTCCGCCGATTCCAGAACTCCATGATGCTCTTGGCCTACAAGGTAGTCCCGCGATACCACGAAGTACGCATTGTGGCTACGCATACCAGGCATACATGGCATACTTACATCGAGATCCAAGGCACAGAGTCCCAGCTATCTTGCACCTAGGCGTACAAAGGGTCACATCAGGCACTGACGCGGCACAGTCGCTGAGCAAGACACGTCAGCAAAGTTTCGCCAGAGGTTGCCTTGGAGAGACGGGAAAAGCTAGAGTAATGCAATGCTTGAGCATGAGCAAATGTTTCTAGCTTTCGTTGCGTCAGGCTGGGCTTCAAGCAATGCTCCATCAGGGAGGCCATGCAACCATCGGACTTCTCGCAGTGGTGAGGCATGTAAGCTGGCCAGCTGCAACTGTAGACCTGGCTGCATGCCAGGATACATGCCCTTCTGCTGGCTTTAGCTCGAACCTGTCATCTGAGGATGCAGCAATTGCCCGCCCAGAGCGGTTGAGCGCCGCCCCGAAGGCAGGGTAATCGCGCTGCATATCCTGCCGTCAAATCGCCAAAACCAGGATGTGGCTGCGGGTCAAAAATAGGTACCCAAAATGGAACCCTGGCAAGTGGAAACATGGACTAGAACCTGCCTTACCCTGGTGGATTAAATTTTGACCCCATACCCATGCCTCGTGCATCCAGTTTGCCCGCCTCCAACTTCTCATTGCAGCCGTCCACCTTGATATAGTCCACGCCCCACGAGGCAAAAGTCTTGGCATCCTGGTCGAAGTGACCTTGGAGCCCCACCTTCCCCGCGCAGGTCTGGGACCCGATGTCTGAATACGTGCCGAACTTCAGGCCGCGCCGGTGGATGTAATCGCCTCGGGTGCCGCTCGCCTTGAAAACGCTTCGCGCGTGAGGCAACAGCTCCGAGCTGGAGCTAGGCACAAGGTCAGCAAAAACCCTGAAAAGGCCAGGTCACCCAGAGCAGCCATCCCGGAGGGAAACCTCTTTGGGTCTGCCACTTGTTGGCCCTGGGCATCACGCACCTCCAAGGCCCAGCAATCATCGATGCTTACCTGGTCGTAGCCTGCGTCGCGCCAGCCGTCCTGGAATGACCGCTTGCGCACGGGCAAAGTTCCCTCAAAAAGGCCCAGCATGTGAGACCCCAAACGCATGGAGGCCTTTCATACACAAGTGATCACCAGCTGCGGGTGTCCTCGGCCAATCGATCTGCCATCTCCTTGATCAACTGCTCGTTGATACACCTCCCGGCCATTTCACCGCTGCAGTCCTCGTTGCAGCGGTACCGCTGCCAGGTCATCCATCCCATGGGGGGTGTCAAGGACACGCCATTGTCCAGACTCCAAGCCTCATGGCAAATGTCGCTCTTTCTTCGATTTCAAACAATCTGTGACCCAAGGTCTTCCCATCAAACCATTCTCCCCAAGCAAACGCTCTGTCTGCTGTCATATGCTTGACGTGTGCTTGTCACTTCGCTGAGAGTCCAATGGCGCAAAGGCCAGCAAGGCCAGCCCAAAGCGCAGTCGCTCCATGGCTCCAAAGATTCTGAGCCTCTTTTGGCTCTGATGTTCAGCGTCGCAGGCATCGCATGCATGGCGACGGATCGAACCTCGGCGAATGCTGAGGGAGCTGCCACGTCGAGAGGCGTCTCAGGCCTGGCCAGTTTCTCTCCCAAAAGCGCCCAGAAAAGACCTCCGGAACTGAGGTAAAAAGATATTGTTTCCTGAGGCCACACTCTACACACAACTTCTGACAAAACCTACGGATTGGCGTGGGGGCACGCCTCGCACCCGTGCTCTGCACAAGGCCTCGAAACCAAGCACCAGAGCGTGCACGTGTTCGTTAACTCAAACCACCCCAGCTAACCCCCTGAGCCAACTCGTGGCGTAGCTGTTCTACCGACACAACCAAAACGACTCGTGTTATTTTAGCCTGGGCCCGGTGGGCTCAGCCCTGCACAGGCAGCATGCTCAGCATGTGCACCGCGATGCCATTGCCAAGTTCAAAATCGAATCACCGCGTTCCTGGGACCTCTCCACGCATCTGCAGATTTCAGGTGCCAGCTTGCACTTTCTTTATTGCATATGGCTATGTCTGCACTTCATGGAAGTCTAGCCAAGCACAGGTTGGCAATTGGGAAGCGTTTGGCAAAAGCATGCTTGCTCGCATTAGTGTCATGTTGTGCCGACCTGTAACTGTATTTTGACCACGATCTGAAGGCAAAAGATGATCGGAGGCGGAGATGCGCCTGCTGGGTTTAATGCTGCATGGCACGACCCACTCTCGCTTGAAGCCGAGTTCCTCGACTTGACCCTTTTGCGACCGTCACGCTCACCAGAGCTCCGTTCAGCTTTGCTGAAGCAGTACGCGTTCCAATGGCTACGCAGCCGGGAAAAAATGTTGTTCGGGCATGTCAGGAATGCAGCTAGAAATCTGCAAGAGTCCGCAAATCCAGGTGGCCGGTGAAGGTGTAGCCATCCTGATAGCGTCTCTGAATGAACATGCACCACAAAATACGAGCTTGCAGTCAAACGATTGAAGCGGATTGAACCATCCTGAGACCCACACAGCAGCGAACGCCCGCAAACGCGCATCAGTGCTGGCAAGTGGCTCCCAATACCGCTGCGTCGGCCAGATCGATCTCAGGGGCAAAGCAAGAGCTGCGTGGCTTTGCAGGCTTTGCGCTCCGTCAACTGGGAGGTCTGAAAAGCCATGCCCTAGACAGTGTCACTGCCAGATCCTGCCAGTCTGCTCTCTGCAGTATCCAGCTAATTTTTACAGATTGCCATCATGCCGCACGCCTCAGGAGAACCGGTGGGGAAAAGCATCGGCAGCTCCTCATTGTGGTATTCCGGCTGTCCATCGGCAGAGCCCTCCAAAAGCAGGCCGGCCTCGATTAAAAGAAGTGCATCTGACAGCACGGATTCAAACGCATAATTATGGCATCATGATTCGAGCGTTTGGAGGTTCTGGAACTTGGGCGTTGCAAGTTTGCACCCTGAAAAGAAGTCGCACGGACCGAGCCAGGCACCATGGCTCTTTGGATCTCTCGGCCCACAACCAGGCACCAGCAGAACTTGTACTCCTCCCCCGGTTCCAAGCTGAAACTGGAGTCGCCCTCAGATCACACGCCCAAAGGGTGAAGAGCAACAGGCAGCGCACCAACTATAACTGAAGAAGCCCGGTGCTCCGTCCTGATTCCAAACAGAATGATTAACGAGCGCTCAACCCGCGCATGCGTCCATAAAACTTGTTGCGCCTGGGCCGATCAAAGCAACACAACCGCTCGGCAAAGAGAGCCAGGCTGCAATGGTCGAGCGCAAGAAGGGAAAGACTTTGCCGTCGGTGCCCTTGAGCAGGTAGAAGCGCGCTCGGCTCTTTACTGGCCCCTCGGTGCTCTCCGGACGCCTGATGGAGAGACGGAAGAAGTAGGCCTTGGAACTTCACGGCAAGAGAAAACGCGTGTTGCACCCCGCACTTTCCCAACATCACCAAAAAAAAAAAAAGCACTCAAGAAAATCCTGCTGGAATGTAAGGACGCCCATACGCCAGGATAGTTTGTCTCGTCCATCCTGATGCGGTGAACATCCTAGGCTGCATTGCAAACGCCTGACCGATCGCCCTTCCATGCTCCAAACGCAGCTTGGCTTCCCAGTGGCTGGATCCGAGCGGCCTTGGCAAGGCTGGAGAGCGGGCGCGGCAAAGCGCAAGGCACTGCCCCCTGAATCTTCGCAGCCAGGCCGCTGAATCTGCGGCTCCGAGTCAGAGAACGCAGTTACCAAACGGACCATACGTGGCCTGGCAGACAACATAAAATAAAAAGAAAACAGAAGGAATGCCAGACTGCAAGCCCAGGGCTTGACCTTACGAACCCCCGCAATGTCAACCAACATCACGGCAAATGCCATGGCCCCAAACCGATGCCTCACGTGCCTGAGTCGCGTGAGAAAATGCAAGGGACTTCCATGCGCGAACTCCACATATGCATTCCCATGCTGCCAAAGTTGCTCGTCCACGAGCTCTCTTACTTCCTGGGATGCGGCACTGTGACCAGCCTGTGAACCAGTTAGAGAGTTAGAGTGCGGTGTCCGAAAACGTGACCACGTAAACTCATGGCAAAACAGGACGCAATGCGCAAGCTTGGCCGTGGCTCAGCTTCGTCTAGCTTGTTTCGCCTCAGCAAGTCAGGCGATGCCGACGCCTTGCCTAGACCTAAGCCCGGGACGCTCCCGGCATGGTGGGGCAAATCCGCAAGGCCGCCTGGAAAGGCCCAAGACGAAGCAGGACGAAGCCGCGCATGGCCCACGAGAGCCAGGCCCCGCCTTCCAGCACTCCTTGGCCTTGTCCGTCTCCCCCAGCTCGTAATGGCCTCCCGTCTCCCCAAATCCCCTCAAAGCCACCCACGCCGCCCACTGGGCGCTGGGAAGCGGACAGCTGCCCATGCCAGTGAGGCACCTGCGACCAGCCACAACTCCCAGCATATCAAACATCCAGCTTCTGCTGCCATCAAAGCATGGGATTCCAGTCTGGCCAGCTGGGGACACGGCCAGTAATGCAGCGGCCGGATGTCCAAGGCCTCGCGCCGCGCATCGAAGCTTCGATCTTCCATCCCCCCCATGGCCCCATGGCCTTGACGCAGTCCTCCACCGCCTCCCTGAACTTCTTCTGCGCATAGAAGGCCATGGAGCGCTTGTGCCAGGCCTCCGCGAAGTTGGGCGCTTGGTCCAGCACCTCGGACGCCCGATCTGGCTGTGGGGCACTTGCTGGCCCACAGCTCAGGCGCGGGCACGGGTGAACGCCTCCGCCGCCTCTTCCATCTTGTGATCCTGCAGCAGCTGCACGCCTTGGGCCATCTCTGCATTGACCTCGGGAAGTGTTGCAGCGGAGGCCTGCACTCCAACGCGGCAAGGTAGGAATTTCAATTCGGGGCCTTTTTGATGGACATCATTTTCGTGGGGGAGTTCTCCCCGACAACCCTTTTTGCGGGTGTTGCGCGTTGAAGAACATGTCCGTGTATCACAACATATGCCGGCCTTTGCATTGCCTGAGTCTTCCCAGCAAACGCGGAGCGCTTCTTCAATGGCCATCTGTACTTCGCCTGCCGAAGCCCCAAAGGCAGGCAGATTGGCAGATTGGTGCTCGTCACATGTGCCTTCACCGCGCTCTGCAGCAGTCAGCAGCGCCACGTGCAGGGCATTCTCTGCCTGTGCCACGGGCTTTGGTGGCGCCGCCAGCCTGCCAGCATGACCCACACCTGTGCACTTGCCAACTTCAAGGTAGGCCTGCGCAATCGCTGCACCGCCATGAGCCGGTCAATGTGACGTCCAGCAGTGGCACGCTTCAAGGCACGGCGCACAGCACGGCGGTGACCTGGGAGAAACAAGCTGAAGGTCCTGGACCAGGCCCGGCCGCATACCACCACTCATTCCATGCCCAGTGGCTCATCCGCGCGCGCACCGGCTCCAAGTATGCCCCGGCGGAGGCTTCCATCTCGGAGGCCCGGACACCGGATCTAGGCGCGCGCGTGCCGCGGGGACAGGCTTTGTGTGTTGTGCTTGGGAAACATACATGTATATATATCTAGATCTATATATCTATATCTATATATATATATCCATACATATGCTACCCGATACATATATATATATATATACACACTTGTGGCTTGGGAAGGGCTTCGTTGCTGAATTTGGATATAATATATACACATATATGTATTGTATTTTTGTTCACTTGTGGCCGTGTTGGCGCATATCCCCTTGCGGGATCTGCTGATCTGAACCAAGAAGCTGGAGGAGGACATCCGTCACAGCCTCGGCAGTGTCTAGGGACAGCTGGAGCCGATTGTAGTGCAAGTTCACGCCAAAGCGGAGAAACTTAGTGGTGCCTGGCGCTCGCTCAAATCTACTCAAAAGCGCAAAAAGGGCCAGATCCGCGTTTCCGGCGCTTTGTTTTCTGTTTTGCTTTTTATGCTTCAGGGAATGGTCTGAATCCCCAGCTTGCGTTTTGAACTTGTTGGTCCGCAGGGGCAATGGCACGACTCGAGATGCCTCCTGGATCCGCCGGGACTGCTGTCACCCCGCCGCCTCAGCAATGCCACAAGAAGAGCCCACAGCTGCCCGCTCGACAAGGTCCGCACCCACAATGCTCTCGTAATCAGCGGAGAAGACCATTTCATATTCCCACCGCTGGTCCCCTCGCCAGGAGCGAGGTGCCCAGTTGATGGTACCTCTAAACGTCTGTGTGTCCTCGCCAGGGCCCATGCCATGCTCAATATGCTAAGCCAACATGCAGAGCCTTTGCAGCGCGTCCTTGTCAAATGAAGTATTCTCAAACGCCTTTGTTGCAGGGGGCTGGCTCCCATCGTCCAACGGAGAAAAAGCAGTGCTCAAGGCACTCTCGTAGGAGATGTACGAGCCCTGCAGGCCCAGCCAACACGTCTAAGGCACGCGTCCACGAGCCCAACGGGCGGTGCTCAAGTCCAAAGCCAGCGCCTGCGGCTCGAAATGATAGGATGCAGAGCCCAGGCCGCCGCCATCCTGGATGTACACCTGTCCTTGGATTCAGGCAACCCCGGCTGCGACTCTTGCTATGTCAACGCCCTCCGGTCTCTCTCTCTCTCTCTCTCTCTCTCTCTCTCTCTCTCTCTCTTTCTCTCTTTCTTTTCTCTCTTTGTCTCTTTGTCTCTCTTTCTCTTATTTCTCTTCTTTCTCTCTTTCTCTCTTTCCCTCTTTCTCTCTTTCTCTCTTTCTCTCTTTCTCGCTTTCTCTCTCACACTCTCACTCCCTCTATCTCAGCATCTGGTTGCCAAGTGATCTTGCTCGCCAGGATTCCAACCATATCAGCTGCTCCGGGCCGTTTTCTCAGTCCGCACATGCGCGAGAGGTCCCGGTCCGAGAGCAGCTGCACATGCGCCAGGTACAGGGGATCACCTCCTTCCACCTCTTCGCTTTGCACCGACAAGATGCGAAAGCCTCAGCTGCGAGCCATGGTCAAACTCCCGGCCTGCAAATGCGAAACCAAAGACGGTTGGCAGAAATCCCTACGACGCAAAAGCGTGTGTCCGCGCCAAGGTGTCTTGATGGCATCCCCCCTCCGAACATAAGACAGGAAAGCCCAAGCGAAAGAGCTGCGTTGGTCAAGCGGGAGGAACGTTCACGCCATGCCACGCACGGGGCTACGTGCGCGTCCCAACTTTTGGGGCCGGGCTACGCTGAAGGCCGCGAGCTGTGAGGACCACGGGGCCCTCCTTGGGGTCGTGCCAGTTGAAGTTACTGGCACCCACCAACATGCCTCAGCCGAGCGTCAACAGCACGTCAACAGCACGGGCCAAAGCAAGGCACAAGGCCACGCCAGCAAACTGAAGACTGGGAAAACATCCGCTTTGGAAATCTCGGCTTGCTGTTCGCTAACTCCCTCGCAACGCCTCGCCTCGGCCACCGGCTTTGTGCTGCAACACCTGCGCGTAGCCAAACTGCGAAGGCCCCGGAGGCGCAATGCGTCTCGCAAGCTCCACATAGCGCGGCTCGAAGAGATTCAGCGCCAGCTCCTCAAGATTCGAGGAAATCCTGCCACACCGACCTCTCTGACTTCCCGGATTCCCCTGAAGCAAAACGCCCAAATACTATCTGCTGGTGGCACGGCCTACCCGCCCCGTATACAAACCTAGAGCAAGACGCTTTGAAGCCAACTTCCTGGAAGACATGTCCAAGTGCTATTCTAAACGCTTGGATTCTGGGCCACCCTTCAACTGCCCAAATCTCATGGGAAGCATTTTTTGGCCGCTCCCCCGAGTACTCTGCCAGCTCGCGGAAGGAATGCTGCAGGCTGAAGAGGGGCAGGTCCTTAACCCTCAAGCAACGGCGCGCAATTCGGGCCATCCTGTCCTAGGCCTCGCATGGGGCGTATCGCGTCTGCGCTTAGTCTGTGGCTCCACCTGTTGGCCCAAGGTCATTCGGTTGGTGGGCTTTTCCGGGATTTGGTGGCTGATTGTGTGGTGCCCTGCTGAGAAAGATGTTGGCCTTGACGCTGGGTCGTCTAACTGCAAGGATGCTGATGGAGAATGTAGTGGAGACCTCCGTGGCTGAAGTTTTGGGCATGGCGTCTTGAGCAATAGTGCAGCTTGAAGGCTGCAGTTCAGCTCTGGCTGCACTACTGCATGCTTTCGCAAAGCCGTGTAGCAATTAGAAAGCTCCATGGCTTATTTTCGGCTGATGCCTGGGTAGACTGGGCCAGCCGCTCGTCGCCTGAAGCAGACACGCGCAAGGTGCTCGCACAGGTGCTCGCACAGATGTTTGAGGCAGGGCGCAGTGGACCTCCAGGCGCAGCGTGGGAAAGAGCTGCCGGAACTGGCGCATTGCCCTCACCTGGGAAGTGGCGCAACGAGAGCAAAGACCCCGGCGACTCTGGAGCCAAGTGGCGCAGGAAAGGCACGACGCGCCCAGAGTCCAGAGTCGCACCACTCCCGGCCTGCCGAATGCCAGCACTCTGAGCGAAACAGAAACGGCCGAGGACATCTGAGCCCTGAGGCTAGAGCAAATCGCAGCGCTCCTGCCAGCAGTGAGGGCACACCGCTGGCAACTAGTGGAAGCTGGCTGCCGGGCAGGGCGCCTCAGGTTCGACATCCAGCGCATCCAGGCGGTCACACAGCTCACTGAGAGCTTGAAATTCAGCGCAGAGACTCCTGCCAACGTTGACAGTTTCAAACCCATGCTGTGGCCATCACAAGCCTTGCAGCAGAACAGTTTGCGCACTGACTCAGCGCTTTCGGTCCTGTCGACTAGCTCGCTGATGGGGAGGACCCAATGCTTCAGCAGCCCGGCTCGGCCAGCGCGCGTTCCCTCCCCCAAGAAGCTGTTCTCCTGCACATGGCTTGGGGGACTTGCTGCAAGGCACTTGAAGTGCTGTGACTCGTGCGTCTTTGACGCTGCCGCCGTGCCTTCATCAATGACCCCTGGATCACCTTGGCATCATGCCGCAGCTCATACTCCAAGTAGCCTGAACATCAGGTGCTTTGCCAGAAAAAGTGCAGGGTATGAAGCACAAAGCCTAGAAACCAATAAACAAACGAAAAGCGGTCAGCCGGGCGACAGTAGACCCTTGCTTTGAAGAAGAAGCGCTCCTTTCGCCAGTCTGCTACTCTGGACGCCTCCAGTTCTGACATGGAAGCCTCAGATTGGTTTGGGGATGGGATGCAACATGTTGAATTAATGCATCACTCTTGTCAGCTGCCATCGAGATGCAAGCGCGCGCTGAACGAAGCCAGTCTCCAAGGTGGGCTGAACGATGCCACATTTGCTTAGCAAACGGGCGGTGCCATGGATACCCACGTTGTTGACCTGCCATTCTTGTAGGATGTGGTTGGAGGGCGAAAAGGCGTCTTCCTTAAGCCACGTCATAGCGAAGATGTCGACTCGCTCTGTGAGGATGCGCTGCAAATCCTCACACCCCGGCAAATCCAAGTCCACGAGAGCAGCCAGCGGCTGAATGTCCAACTCCAATTGCTTTGCGCCTGAGCCAGGGCCCAAGAACCCTGCACTTGAAGCTTGCGCATTGCCCCTTTAGTCAGGCTGCGAGCTGCTGTCGCCAGTGCAGCCGCCACCTCAACGCCTTGAGCAGCAGCAGCGGCAAAGCCCCACGCCGCGTTGGCCGCGTCCAGCGCCTGGAACTGTGTGCTTGCCAGCACGGTGCCGTGACCCAGAACAGCGGACGACGCGGCGCCGTACCTGGCACTCAGGGTCGACCCGAAAACTCCACGTCAGCCTCACGGCCCCCCCGCAAACAAGAGGCGAGCTCCTTCTCAACGTCGCAAGTGCCCAGGCCAGGCCGGCAAGCTCGCGTGGCCCCAGCGCCAGGCACGTGGCCCGCCATGAAGTGGCATCCAGCAGAGGCTCCTGGGCCACACTTCCGCAAAGTGAGTCTCTGCGCAAACGGAGCCTCGTCACTCCATATCGAGAATTCAAGCGGCCCAACGAGCACCGTGGAACTCCCAGCTTCATGCAGTCTCCTGCGTCATGCCTGGCTTCCCAAAGGTCCAGGCCACATTCGAAAGGTTCTGCGGGTCAGACGCCCCAATGCGTTCAGCAGCCTCCGCTGCAGGAGCCTCCATTGGAGGCTGGCTGCGCATGCCCAGCTTGCAGAGGCTCCACGCTGCATTGGCCAAGCCTCAGGGCACGCGGTGAATCATTGGCCATGGAGCCAAGTTGGGGGTGAAATCATCACTTGCAGTCTAGGCCTTGCGGGCTCATCTCCGCAATTTTCTGCACCACGGACTCTGCAATCGCGCCTGCGACAGGACAACAGCTCGTAGACTAGCCTCCTTCATAAAGGAATCCAGCAAAAACCTAAAAAACTGCCTCTGCTGCCTGGCAATTTACTCGCAAAGCCTCCAAAGTAACAAGCCGCTCGGGGAGGAAGAATCTTCAGAACAAGCACGGCAATCATTCACAGACGTGTGGCTTTGGGGTGGCCTCAATAATAGTACCCGCCACACCAGCCACACACCAAGCAGAAAAGCGCGGCCTGGCAGCGCCAAGCTGTAGGCAGCCGCAGTGGCGGACGCCCAGGCCAGGTTCGCCGGCTGCTGCTGGCTGAGCTCCGCCAGGCACGCCGCTGCAGCTGAAGCGCCCAGCAAAGCCACGCCACGGTGGCCCGACCTCGAGGCAGGGCAAGCTTGAGCTCGGGCATTTTGGAGCAGGGTTTGCCGCCCAAGCGGCGCGGCAAAGGCCCAGGCGCTGTTGGCAGTCGCCTGGGGCCCAAAAGCCGGCAGCTGCCGGATTGCTTCCGCAGAGGTGGCTCCGAAGGCCGGCTCGGAGGCAAGGCCTTCGCAGTTCAGCCGCTACAACGCCACCTTGTGAGCTTAGAATCGCATGGCAACAGCCCCACCTGCAGTTGCGGATCTCCAGGCAGTATTTGCCAGAGCTTGGGGGCTGAACTGGCCTGCATCTGCCAACCACAGGAAAAGCTGAGTTTCCACCGCCTGAGGCCCAGGCTTAGGCAGCATATGGCTTCAACTGCCAGGGCTTCAAAGGATGATGTCCGTCCTGCGACACGCCAGCCCACTTCAGCATCACATACAATTGAAAGTACAATTTGCGCAAGGTGGGTCACAGTTGAACGTGGTCCTGCAACCAAAGTAGCCAGCGACCAAGCCCTGTTTGAGATGTTCTGCGCATGAAGCTCCCTCATCTTGCCCGCAGCTGCCGCCACCAGCGCATCACACGATGTCTGCTTTGCCAGCACCAGGGTGCCAGGATTCCACAGGATGTTAGTGAGATTCTGGGGCTGAGACTCACGCAGGTCAAGCCGTTGTGCCAGCTCCCCGACGAAGCCGAACAGCGGGGTGCCCGCGGTCGCCAGGGTGGCAGGGCACCATGCCACGGTGCCTGGCTCCTGCGGCCCGTGCTCCGCGCGGGAGCGCCTGGTGAAGGCCCCGGAAAGCGCCGCAAGCGAAGGCAGGCCGCGGCGGCCCAGGCTGCCGAGGCACCAGGCCAGGTTGGCAGGGCCCCGCGCCTCCAATTCCCCCAGGCGCAGGAAGATTTCGCCCGCTGAAGCCTGCTGCGTTGGCCTCACCATGGACCCCGCCTTGCCGGAGGCCTAGGCTGCATTGAAAAGCTCCTGTGGGATGGCCTCGCAGATGGTCTGCCGGAAACGCTCGGCAGTGCAGCGCAAGAGGGGGTAGTGGCAAAATACCAGACGGGTCAATGATCACGCCATGTTGGCACAGTGCTGCACATTGAACCCCTTCATCTGGTCAATGCTGGCAGTGGCAGTGGCTGCTGTCAAAGGTGGGCCGCCTATGTACGAGGTGGCACGCCCTCAGGCTGCATTGGTCAGCTTCTGGCTATCAAACTCTGAAAGGGTGATAAGCGCCTGCCTGAACATTGAGTCCATCATCGCCATCTCCTCAAAGCCCAGCTTGCCAAAGGCCCACACAGTGTTAGCAACCTGCTGCGGGTTGTGCTCGCGCGCCAGCGTGGCCGCTCTGCAGCACATCGACGCCAGGATCATTTGGCCGCCAGGCTGGAGCACCGCAAGGGACCAAACCAGGTTTGTCAGGGACAGCGGTCTGCATTCCCAGACCTGGTCTGACGCACGCCCTGCTGTGGCCAAGGTCGGCGGCCGACCCATCATGTGGAGGGTGGCCCGAGGCCAGGCGATGTTTGCGAGGCTCTGTGGCTCGGATTGCTGCAACTTGCGCATGCAAGCCGAGCATGCTGCATCAGGAAGCTCGCTGCCGCGGAACAGAATCTTGGCAAGAGTCCAGGTTGTGTTTGCCAAACCTTGCGGGTCAAGCTCAGAAATTTTCAGCTGGACCATCCTGCCAATGGCTGTGAAGCTCGGCCTATCACCAGCTGACAGCCGCGCCAGTCCCCAAGATGCATTGGACAGATTTTGCGGCTGAGGTTGGCTTACTCGAAGCTCGACTTCACAAGAAATGGCTTGTGCCAAGGGCAGCCCCGCCCACATCACCACACCAGGCGCCCACACAAGGTTGGATGGGCCCTGAAAATCGCACTCCTACAGTCGCGGTCATGCCTGGCGTGCAGCGATGAGCCTTGCGGAATCATCGGAGGCGCCAAACCTAGCCGGACACCACACGAAGTTGGTGAGCACTTGCGGCTCATACAGCTGAAAGTCGGCCTCCTTTTGGCAGGCTAAGTCGCAAAGCTGCTTGACAAGGGTGCTGTCCTGCCATCGCAGCTTTGCGAAAGACCACATGCTGCGCACGAGCCACTGCAAGCGGAAGGTCCCGACTTCCTGCTGCGCCCGCTGCGTCAAGGCCTCACCCAGGCTGGCGCCATGAACAACCAGCTTGGCAAAGGTTCACAAAGTGCTCACGAAGCCCTGTGGCTCTAGCTCCCAAACAGGGCACGCACGGCAGGCGGAACCCACCAGCGCCCCAGTCCGAGCAGCCAAACGACCACGGGCCCAAGCAATGTCTGACAAACCCTGTGGGCTCACGTGATCTTGCAGAACTCCCTCAATGCGGGCTTGCAAGCGTTGCATCCTCGCATCCCGCAAGTGCTTGGCGGCATTCTCTCTGAGAGCTGCAAGCCTCCTGAAGGTATCAATGACGCTCTCCGCCTGAAATTCCGCACCGAACTGGTCCCAGTGGGCCAGCAACTGCTCGGCAGACCGCGCTGAAAGCAAAGGGTCCTTGGCTGTAGCGCACTGCCAACATGCATCGACTTCCAGATCACTACGACAAATAAGTGTGATAAGAAGCACAATTGCAGCTGCCCCTCCCCCCACCCTTTGAGCCTTGCACCCTTTTTTGAGGCCAGGCTCACTCGGCTCACTCTATGCAGTCGGGGGCGGTCGCCAGCCCCGGCTGCGACCCATCATCTGAAGCAGGCCATTGGAGACTCGAAGCACTCAGGTATCTTGCAAACACGGGGGCTAAAGAAAAAGCCTCAGCTTGGGGACAGCTTGGCTTCAATTCCAGTCTGTGATTTGAAGTCTGGTTGCTCGGACCAGGGCGCATGCTTTGGGGGGGTTGTGGCATTTCATCAGGGCAACGTGCATACAGTACTGAATTGAGCCCCTTCATTGAACCCTGCAAGCTGCCTGCATGCATGCAGCAAAACAGCAAAGCAAAGCTTCGGCATGCACCAAACCCGGCCGACGGCTCTTTTTCCTCCATATGCACGACAGGGGTGCAACAATCTAGTCCTTAGGCTTGGGCAGGAGTAAGCAGGGCCCAAAGCCAACGCTCCCGCGGCGTTTGCACCTCTGCAACAGATGCCGGGGGCAGCAGATCTGGCAACCAGCTCGCCCTGTCCCAGGGGTTGAACCGTCGAAACCAGGTTGTGTCTGCAAAAATGATCTGAGTCCCGAGAAAGGCAAAGCCGTAGCCGGCTCTGTGGGTGTCTGCAAGCGACTGCTCATCTGCCGCCTGAACGCGACTCTTTCCGCACAAAGGCTCGGCCGGACTCAAAGCAAGTTATACTTGAAACAGCAAAATGCTCCCATTACCTCCCCCCCCCCCCCAAACACCGTAACACTAGCGAAAGCATCACTCTCACCATGCCTTCGCAGGCTGAATCGCCTGCTCCACGTTGCTGAATCGACGAAACTGCAAGGAGAGCGCCTCCTGCAGCAGGTCGATGTCTGCGTCCTGGGATCGCGAGGCGCGAAGCTCAAGGCCCAATTCCACGCGCCGGGCGCGTGAGGCATCTGACGCCTACTTGACTCACTTGCATCAGGTTAGACGTCTGCGGAAACTCACAGGCGCCGAGCATGTTTTTCTAAGCTGATGTGACTGATGTATGATTCCTGCCGGGCTGCCTTGCCACAGAAATAGTTCCGGCTCGTGTGAAACAGGTTGCTCTCCACGTTTGCGAGCCAGCCTTGGCCAATGGCCATGCCGGCGGCTTTGGCAAAGGAGGGCCGTTGCAATATGGCGACTCCATGCTTTGCAGGCTAGTGCTTGTTGGTGCCAGCATGAGCTTTGGAGCGATTTGTTCATCCGTGCAGAGGTCAGGGCAAAAAAGCAACAGTCCTTTGGAACGAGTCTGCAGCAGACTGGTATGAGTGGGAATCTGCCTTTCTGCGGGCGAGCAGCACGACATACCGTCTTTGATCGACATAATCTTGGGTTTTCTCATCTCTGGATTCTTGTAGTATTCCTGGGTGGGGACACTGCACTCATATCATTCAGTGCATACTGTCACCTAATTGTTCCTGCATTTGGGTGGGCGACCTGCTTGGCAAGCACCGAAAGTCATACCAGCGCTTCATCATACTAAGTGCAAGCATGCTTCGTACAAATCCACCGTCAGCAAAACCTCACTGTAGGGTTGTATGCCTGCACTTAGGCGAAGCTGATACAAGACTGATGCCATGCCCTCCTTGCCACCAGCTTGTGTCAGCCAAGCCTTGTTTTAGTTGATAGACATGAATATTGCCACAGCTCATCTCCAGAAATGCCCGAGTACTAGGCGCTGTGGTGCCCGACATTGTCCCATAAAGGCCACTCGCAGACCTCACGCAAACATGTCTGATGCGACGTGTTGCAGTGGCAGTGATGGCATGCGCAGTTCCCTTCGTTCCCCAAACCCCTGCGTCGGTAAGAGCCAGGCACGTAAAGGAAGCCATCATCACGCACTCTACGCGTGATGACTGCGCGCCAGAAGTCGTTTCCGAAGTTCAGGGTCGCCGATATTGACAGGTACACGCTGGCTTCAAGGGTCTCCTGGCACCCCGCTCGAATAAGTCACCCTCTGTGCCAGGGCAAGCTCAGTGTCCGAGACCCAAGGTCAGAAGGTCAGTCCTTCGTCTCCTGCAGGCCTCCCTGCACTTTCACCCCTGCAGTTGCCCGCGCCGCCTCGACCAGCTTCTCGATATCCAGCTTCTCAAGCATCTGAGAATGAGGCCTGGCCCCAAACGACTCTCCAAACCCTTGGGGCCTTGGGGCCGGAAGCCAAGCCATCGCCCAACTTTCAAACCTCCGATCTCCGGGCTTCGTGCCATGCGACAAAAAGGCTTTGCACGCGCAGGCACGCAGCTCGCCTCTGAAACCTTCTCGGGACTATGCCGTCAGGCATTTCTGGATCAGCTTTTCTCACCTCAGCCAGGCAGTTGATCTTTGGTGGGAACAGGAGGCCTAGCATTGAATCGCCAAGGGCAAAATGGCATCTTCTTTCACACCGGGGTATCTCAGCAAGCTGGAGACCTTTACATCACAGCACCTTTACATCAGGGTGCACGGCTGAGGCAAGCTTAGGCCCCGTCATTGGGCGGATGCGTCCAGTTTTTGGAAAAAGACCGCATCGGTTCCAGCAAATACTCTTCTCCGATATTTACCGAGAGCAACGGGAAGCCGTCCTTGACTCTCTTGAGCACCAAGCCATTCGCCTAAGCCAAACAATCACATTCATGTGTGTGTATGTGTGTGTGTGCTGATCCCTTTCAGCTCTAACATGCTGCAGCAGAGTCAAACGACAGAACGGCAGCCCGATGGCCGACATTGCTGCAATTCATCAGAGGTGCTCTGTCAAGTACAAGGTCGAAGTTGCCGTACAGCGTTTGCACTGGACCTCAGTACTCAGCTGCCCATTCTCCCAACAACCCAAGCATGCCACCGTCGGAAACCTCGATCGCCCGACAGGAGATCGACGCCCTCAAGGTGTGCTTCATCTTATAAACTTCCTGCAACTCACAGTCTATTTCCACGGAGTTTTGAAAATTTACTATGACACAACCACAAACGTACTTAACGGTAGCCGATAATACGGGTGCAAAGAAAATCATGTGCATCCGTGTGCTAGGAGGTCCAGTGAAACGGGTCTGCCAGGTCTCCCTTCTTCCGAAACGTGCGGCAAATGTCGTCCCTCTTCGCTCGGACCTGGCCTGGCTCAGCGCCGACCACCACCACATCCACCTTGCGGAAAGTGGCGCTGAACTCCAAGGCATCCTCCTTGCCCCCCAGGCTCAAGGGCAGCCGCAGGCCCTTGATGAAGGCCTCCGGGCGAACAGCCGCCATGCTGGCAAGGCAATGGCAAAAGAGCAAACATGTCGTGCAGCTCAGAAGGATTGTGCCAAAAAGGGAGAAACGTGCTTGGTGCAAGGCCTGAGGCAAATAAAACCTTTCCGTGCCCTCCATTCTCAAGGAGCCGTCGCTGTGGAGCCTGAAGGTCTCGAATGATTCTGCCCCAACTGTCCGAACTGCATGCCTGGCCTTTCCGGGAGCTCGGGCACACAGCCCTGAAAAAGCTTCGTGCCCATCAAGCACTCCATCATGCCGTTCGGAGCGGCAGCTTGGGTGGATACGTTCACCTTGCACCCCCCGAGATCCGGGCATCAGGTGTATGACTCATGTGCCATGCGCAGGCCATGATCGCCTGCAGCCGGTGATCGGGGGAGAAGTCCAGGGCAACAGCCGCCTCGCCCAGCACGCCGTTCAAGACGCTCCCTGGCAAGTGACGGCTTCAAATTCGGCACTGAAGCTGAATCGAATGTAATGAGGACTGTGTTTCTGCAACTAACGCTGGTCTGGAAATTCGAACCAATAGCGCATTTCGTTCAACAGGACTTCCAAGGTACCGACAGAACTTCACAGTATGGAGGCTACAGGGGCAACAAACTGACCTGACACTTGCACCGCGGTCCCTCGAGGTGATACGCATGCCATCCGATGCGGGAATCATGTTGAGGTCTGGTAGAGCTGGGGGCAGAAGTTTCAAACACAAAGGAACTGTAGTTTGGAACACTCTTCTTTTCCCTCTGTCTCTCTCTCTCTCTCTCTCTCTCTTTATCTTCTTCTCTTTCCCTCACGTGCGCTCTCGCCCGAGCCAACAAAATGAAAAACACGGAAGGACATCAATTTTGTGGGATCCGACCCAAAGTCCACAAGAGCGCGCGAGCGAAGCTAAAGTTGCAATAAGCCCAGGTGATATCCCCAACAGCACACGCCCGTGTGGGTTCTGCAGATTCGGAAAAACACCAGCACACCCCTCACTGGAACCCTCGCAGAACCCCGCATCACCCCGAAACCTTGCTGAAACCTTGCTGAAACCTTTCTCATGGCTGCGCCACACCACCCCTGAACCTCCGGAACCTTGCTTGAACCCCTTCCTTGAGCCTTCTACCTGGCCTGCACCAAACCACCTCCAAATCTCCCGGAAACCTTCCTTGAACCTTACACTTGGCTGTGCCCTACACCGCCCCGGAACCTCCAAAAACATTACTTGAACCTTACACCTGGCCTGCTCCAGACCACCCCGAACCTCCGGAACCGTCCTTGAACCTTGCCCCTGGCTTAGAGCAGGAACCTTCCTTGAACCCGAGCCAAAGACCGCTCCACGGCCGACATGCGGAGGAGCCGAATGCATGCACACGGCCACATGTTCCACTCGGTTCTATTCCCCGTCTCTCGCATTTTAAAATGGAAAATAATTGAAAACCACAAGTTTCTTTGCGCAGAGGGTTGCAAGAGCGAAGTAAAAGTTGGAAAATTAGATTGCGAGTTGTTTACAGTCGACCTGCCCAAAGTGCGCGGGTTCGCCGATTGAAAACTGGGCTCGGTCACGCCCACACTTCTACCCAGAACGGTGCCACCCTCTCCCAGTGCAAAGCGCAAGTACAACCTCGAGGCTTCGAGCTTTGCTGTATCCACCTCTGATGGTCATGCACCGGCTGAAACGATGCAATCAAATCGGTTCTTAGGTTTGGCCCTTGCAAACACAAGCCATGACTCTCCGGCCTTGGCCCGAGTCCGTGCAGTTCAGGTAGGATTTCAGCGAGTGAATGACCAACGAATCGTTCAAATCATCGGATTGTTGCAAGTGCTCCTCGACATACTTCCTCGTAATGGGTGCCGCCACCATGGTCACCCGCGTAGTATCTTCGATTTCAATATCCACTTTGTTGGATCCACACTTGTCGCCAGCCCGACCCTGGCACTTGCCCTTGATCCTGTACTCATGGGTGAGCTTGCCATCCTTCTCCTGCACCTCTGTGAATGCAGTGCCCATGCTTTCAGGAATGAGGCCTGCCATGAATGGCCATACATTTTTCAAGAAGACCTGGTCCATGTTCCCGTACGAATCGATCAAGTGGTTCACAAGGGACTGCACAGCACCACCTTTGCCAAACTTCATCGAAACCTGCGATAATGCATTGGGCTGAATGCTCCAATGGCCAGACTTCAGCTTGAAAACGCCCTTCATCTTGAATTTCACGACCAAAGGCCCCCTTTCAAGACTGTCACTCGAACCCATACCAAGCGTGTACACAGGCCGCAGGACACTGTCCACAGCTGAGACTGCTTTGGCAAGGCCCGGCAAAGATGACTCAGGGGCAGAGAAATCAATGCCATCAATATACATCTGCACGGTGGCAGGACTGCCATCGGGGCCTCCGATTTCAAAGCCAAAGCTAGAGTCGCTCTGGCGATGCAGCTTTCCGACAAAGTCGAGGTTCCTTGGCTGACATTGCTAGCAGCTAGCAAAAGGCCACAGCACAAAGGCAATGCCGTCTCACTCCAAGCTTCACAAACTGCATCTGCTGCACCACGACAAAAATTGGGCCCAGGGGTGTGCCTGGCAGGGCAAGGCGGACAGCCGCATCACCATGCGTGTCTGGAGGGAAGTAGGTCTTGTCGAGCGCCTCCTTGGGGGGAAAAAACAAAAGAAGACAGAAAGTTTTTAAATTGGCAGACGTTGGAAGCGACTCGCCCAACTCAGTGCCCGGTCCTGTGCACGGCACCTCTTGCCCTCGAGACTCCCCACCTGTCGCAAGACCGATGTGGCCTCCTGGCCCCTGGACTCGGCCTGCGCGGTGGCCTCAAAAGAACGAGCCGTGGCGAGGCCCTGACGGTGTAGCTCCACTCAAAAATACATAATCTGTTAATAGCCCTGTATGGCTAGCATAAAGCCAAATGGTCACACATTGTCGCAAGCGAATTGGGGCACAATTCCTGAGGTACCTTGCTTTAGCCTCCGAGACTTACAGGTCTTGTCCATTTGTCCATCTCTGTCTGTCTCTCTGTCTCTCTGTCTCTCTGCCTCTCTGTCTCTCTGTCTCTCTGTCTCTCTGTCTCTGTCTCTGCCTGTGTCTCCGCCTCTGTCTCTCTCTCTCTCTGTCTTCTCGCTGTCTGCCTGTCCTCCGCGCGCTCTCTCTCTCTCTCTCTCTTTTTTCTCTCTCTCTCTCTCTCTCTCTCTCTCTCTCTCTCTTTCTCTCTCTCTCTCTGTACTCGCATATCGGACTTGCAGTTGTCAAAGAACAGCTTCCGGCCTGAATGCCCTCCAAAACTGCCGGCTGGGCAAACACGGCAGACCTACTGCCGGCACCGATGCTGCTGCTGCTGCTGCTGCTGCTGCTGCTGCTGCTGCTGCCGCCGCCGCTGCCGCCGGTGGCGTGGGTGGCGCCAGAACTGGCAACGGCCGGCTTGGATGCCATCTGGGCAAGGCTCCGCCCAGCAGGTGCCTGCAGGAGAACCTGCTGGTCACTTCAAGAAGACTGCCACTATTGCTATAGCCCTACTTTAACAACAAAAAACTCAACAAATCCCCGCGTTTTTAGTCACCCACCTGCTGAAGGTTGGTTGTCTCCCTCCCCCTAGGCAGAAGGAACTCTGCATTGTGGATGTCATGCGTGCCGTATCTCCAAGCCGCCGCCCTGCTATCCTCAAAGCGCGTGCTCTGCAGCTGCAGTGCCCCGTACAGTCGATCCACCTCCTCTTTCGGGCCACAAAGCTGCTCCGAAGTCACAGACGAGCGCCACATGTAGCCAGAGGACTGCAAGCGCGTCAGCATCAAACATTGCCAGCTTGGCTGCGCGTCTTTGTCTGTGAGCACCAGAGGGGCATACTTCTCCAGATCCCGCACGTCGATCTGCCACTGACCGCTGCCACCCTCCACCCGCTGCAAATTGTTGTGTGGGTCCAGCGGCCAGGCGAAGAGCCGCAGAAATCCGCAGTTCAACACCACCCTGACGGCTGAGCCGGTTTTTGCCGTGGAATCCGTGAAGCGCTCCAAGGCTCCGGCCCAGAACACGTATCCAGTGTCATGCTTCGGGCGGCCCGCTAAAGCACCCGTCAACACTGGCTTCACGTCGAGGCTTGCTCGCTTCCTGCCACGAGAAGAAAACCTGACACCGTTGAGAGGCGTGCCCTCTACATCCAATGACAAGGTGCCATTCAGCGTCAGAACCCTTTCCAAGAAGCCCAATGGTGGAGGGCCCGTCGGACGCTGATACTCGTCAGGCACGAGGCCATCAAGATCATACTGACTCTTTGCACGAATGTGGTGAATGTCAGGCTGCTTGGAAGAGCGGCGCAGCTGCCGAAGCTGAATCCCGTTCTTCCCATACGAGGCAGTGATCTTACTTGCAGGTGTCATGGTGATATATGATCTGGCACCAGACATCTGAAAATTCTGCTGTAGCGCCTCTGGCAAAGACACAATCGCTTCGCCAAGAGTGGCCGTTCGAACCTGAGGCGGCAAAATGGCATGTCAAGCGCACCCAAGAACAAACAAAAATTATTGCAAGTTCCCGTCCCGCACATGTACAGTGCCTGGTATGATCGCTGGGACCCATTTGCTGGTGCAGTGTTCCAGTTCTCAATAATGGCGTCATCAATCCGCATGGATCGCGAGTCGAAGTGGAACCCATCCAATCTTGCCGTGGTGATAGTTCCCATCGCTGGAGGTTGCGGCAGCAAGGCCTTTGTGACAGCCCCACCCTCAGGTTGGTCCTCATGGACCCTTTAAACGCTCGGTCCTTGCATGAAGCTGCAGAACAAGCGGCGCCCAGTCCAAAGACCGACAGCAGCGACGCTTTCCCCTCGAGGGCTTGGATGCCCTCTTTGGTCTTCCTCGGAATGCCCATTGCCCATGGTCCCATGGTCCGAGCCCCGCGCCTGCCGACTGGCAACAGCCTCGCATGCAGCATCTGAGAAGTCTCGGGGCCCCATCCAGCGCCGCTCTGGGCTGACACCTGCTGTGCTCGGTCCGGCACTTCTAAACTACCAAGCACCCATCTTTACAATTTCATGGCGTGGATGCCTAAATCGTAGTTCTCGCCCTGGGCGGCTATCTGTGCAAATACTTTAACGTAACCTTCCGGGTTCTACTACTCCGTCGGCCTTGCTTGCGTCATCAATGGGAGCCGTTGCATCCTTGTGACTACTCGTGCCAGGAAACCAGGGCCAATAACGGCCATGGACTTCGCAGCAGTACATCATTGGCAAGCACTACACTTCAAGGACAGCACCCAGACTAGACCAGCACCCTGCGTGCACCCCATCCAACAGCAAACACCTCAGAAGTTGACGAGCGAAGCCACACAAAACACATACGCCTCTGAGGGACTTTCACTGCTTCTCAGAATCAGCTTTGTAGCTTTTCAATGGCAGCATCCTAGAGCCATGGTCAAACTGTGGGCTTGAATCAAGCCGGAAATGGCTCAGGGTGCGCAATGCTGCAAGACAAATCTGAACATTGACAAAAAATGAGTTGTTGCTCGCCTACCCAGCCACACCAACTTCCTATCCAAACCATAAACCGAACTTCATGGGGACTCAGAAAAAAGAATGTCGATACTTTGGACAGAAGTCAACTTGTGACAACCGCAGCTGTTGCGCGGTTCGCGGACGGACAGTGCATGGCGCGCCTGATTTGTCATGAACATTCTTGCTCGACAAAGAGCATGAAGCTATGTGCATAAATGATTTCAACATAGCGGCAGCCCAACACTTCCATACAATGGAAAGCACATCCCACAAGCGCCTTGAAGCCTTCGAGGAAGGCCGTTCCCCCTGACTGAGAAGAATGGGCCTGAGCACCAATAACACTTTGACTTTGACTGGAACAGCACCTAAAACCGCAACGGCAAGCATTGCAAAGCCAGGCCACTTTGATGAACGGCTCGAGGATCTTCACAAACAAATCATTGGCCTGACTCTCTGCTGCCGCAAGAAGAGTAGGCGAGAGATCTGCAAGGGTCTGGCTGTGCTTCACCTTCATCAGCAAATCTTTGCCCATGACAAATCCTTGGCTGAAACGAAAAATGGGAACCTCCCACTGCGCAAGTTGGCAAACCTATCTCTAGTCCAACCTCTCTCTATACAAGCATCGCAGGAGAGCCTAAGTGTGCAAATGGCTTTGCATAACCTTGCCTGGCTTTCGCACGTGTGTCCATGTCCAGGGACATTTGCGACACTGGAATAAACAAGACTCGATACTGCTTCAAATTCTCCAGGAAGACCTCCCGATTGTCATTCCAGGCCTCCTGCACTGCTGGGTCGCGCAAGAAGGTGACCACCACTTGCCTTGCCATAGCCTTCACATCGAAGTTGGTCGCCAAAACCTCGACACTGCTGCAAAAAAAAATGAGAGACTAAGCCCAAAGGAAGAGGTGCATAGGGGAATTGGAGGTGACTCAGGCTTGGATCTGCGAGCTCTCAGTGTTTTCTCAAAAGTCCACGGGGGTGGATGGTTCAAGCAGTGTGATTCTATCATCACCTGATGGGCCAAAAAAAAGAAAAAGCGCAAGTTTTCTTTGTTTCAAGGGGGCATAGGGTCCCCAAGCCTAAAAAAGCCCGGGAACGTCAAACAGCGCTCCCGGGTTCGCATGCAAGTCGATGGAGAGACCCACATCGAGATCCAGCTGGCCGTTGGGCTCGGCCATGGACCCCCCAAGGTCCATGTTGACCTGGCCGCTTCGGAGTCGGCGCGGGGTCAGCGGCCCAAACTCGTTGCCCCCACGCAAGCTTGAACCGGGCTACAGCCAACGAGCTCCAGGGCAAGTGTTGGGGCACATCGTGCGCGAAAACAACAGCACGTGCAGCACGCCTGCTATCAAGAAACCGCCATACAAACAAAAGCTACAACTGCATGAGCCTTGCCTCTAACCATAGATCTTGTTCATGATTATCGCGGCCTTGCAAGCAACACGTGACATGCCACAGCAGGCTGCTGTCACGCCTTAATACCCAAAAACTACCCAGTGGATCTCGGAAGGTAAACACGACAGGCGCCAAACGCAGCGCTCCAAATTCAATCCGTGATGCCTGGCACAAGCGGCAAATAAGTCAGAGATGCCATGAGGTTCATTGGGACTTGCGATTTGATGATGCCAAACAGGCTGTCCAACACCAGCTGATCAAGCCCACCGAACTGGTTCAAAGCATAGTCCAGAACCTTCTGGCCTTAGCCATGGTTTGTGACAAGAACTTCAAAGTGGCTGGATCGGCCTAGTTTAGTTCCTGAATGCTGCTGAATCGGGCCATCGGCCGAAAATGTTTGAGTTCCAGGAATGGCCTGCCTTTCTACATAATCCAAGCAGCTGTTAAAATTGAACTTGAAGTACTTCACCTCTTTGGACACCAATTCTGCAGTCCAAACCCCTTTCACATTTTTCGCACGGACCTTCCCCGAGAGGGAAAAGTAGAGCGTGCCATCCTGGCCCTCGCGAAGGACATCCCGATTGGTCGCCATAGCCGTCGCCCAGTTCACCAGTTTATTCTTGGTCATGACCTCAAAGCCGCTAATCCATACTTCCGCGATGCCAAGTCCAGAATACTCCCCATGTTTTCCGGTTGTTCTGTCACCGCTAAGCTCAAATTCAAAGGAATCTGCATCTGCCCTATGGAAGCTCACCTTGGCCTCCAGGGATTTGATTTGCAGCTGCTCACCAAAGATATAAATATCCCCGTGAGTCTCCTCGTTGCTTGTGCCGACCACCTTGCGAAGGAAGTAGCGGTCCGCGGCATCTGCTGCGCCCACGAGGTCAAGATTGTCCTCCCTGAGGCAAGTGATGCGATCCAGGTTGACTGGCTCTGGGTCCTCTTGATCACGCCGGACAGAGTCACGGGTGTCGATCCGGGCAGCGGTCACACAGCCCAGGACAAATGAGACCAGCAAAACATGCTGCATTAGCAAGGAATGAGGCGTGCCATGAAAGACTTCGCAGAAAACTAGCCAAAATGCCTGGCCAGGGTACAAATATTGCAACCATGCAAGATTGCCAGATGAGCATATGTGCATGTTCACAGCAAGAAAGGTGCGTTCACGTCCGAACGACAGCACGAACAATACTTGCAGGAAAAGGCCAAATAGAAACGCTCAAAACACAAACCCGTTGCTTGAACGTGGTATGAACAGCCCGCCAGATTGTTGCACTGCACCAATCATTCCCCACCTCTGTATTGAATCCGGTGTTCAGACACACAAAAAAAAAAGAAGCCCCGAGAAGCGGAAAACTGCAGGCTGGCAAGGAGAGGCCGGATGTTTCCACGCCGGCTCGTTCCGGCTCGTGCGCAAGCTCAGCTCCGTGGCCCCCAAGGCAGTCTCAGGCACCGGGTCTCAGGCCGTCCTCGGCTCGACCAACTTCCGCGACGATTTCTGGCAGCTTCCCCCAAAAGAATGCCCCCTCTCTCAAGCGCTCGAGCGCGGCAGTTTTCCTTTTGTTGCCGCAGCTCTGCACAACTAGAGCATCTTGTGTCAAGAAAATTGGAAGCTGCAACTGTCGGCACAGAGCAGGTGAAACACTTGAAGAATCCTGATTCTGCGCATCCACCCAATCATCCGTCTAGCGGAAATGCCTAGCAAGGCTGCAGCAGGAATTCTCAGGCAAAGCAATCTGACAATCAGGCACCTGCGAAACAAATGCAGGCAATTTAGCTCCACACCTGCCCCGTTTAAGCATTACCCGTCTGAACACGGCGAGACAAACAACCTGCCGTGCAAAGGCCTCTTGTTGCTCATCCATCACAGGTGCCGCCAGCGGATTGTATGTCGGCGCTGCGCGCGGATACAACCTGCAACTCTGCATTCACACCACGCAAATGCAAGCAACTGCGCCTCACTAGCCTTGCAACTCGTGTCTCGTCAAGGCACGTGTTCAAGTAGATCTCCCACAGTATAATCAGGAAGCAGAGAAAGTACACCACTGACTCCACCGCTTTCCCCGCAAAGGTTTCCATGAAAGCTCCTTCTTCCAAGGCTTGCTTGTCCTTTTCCCTGATAAAGTCCCACACGCTGCTCTCAGATGCGCCCTTCCTGGACTTCCCCAGCTTCTTCACTTTGGCCTGTCACAACGTCTCTCCACATCCCAATCACTTGCTGAACCAAAATGCCAAACTTTAGCCCTAGCTGTCTCCACAGGTCAGCCCTGCAACATTGGAAAGATCATAGTTGTGCTTAGTTGCTGCCGCCAAGCACGGCACATGTGAGCGCTCATCCAGCGGCCAAAAGCAAAACCAGTTTGCCTGGACCACTGGAACGACAAATCTGTCGTTGGCCTTGGGTATCCTGGCAGCCTTCCGCACCCTTTTCGTAGCGGCCTGCCAAAAACCAAGTGATGAAACTGCACACGACAGAGCTGACCAGCGGATTTGCCTCAGTCAATGCCCCACATGCCCATACATCTTCAATGTGTCAAGTTCATTCGCAGTTTTCAGCCCGCATGTTGCAATCGGCCTCTTGAGATACATCCCGCAGCGGCTCTACGCTGCCAGCACGGGGGAAGGAGCAACTCGGCGCCACAAAGCAGGAGCCTGGAGACCAGTTCCGGCTCAAACGGAAAACGCAACACGAAACCAAAATCCAAGCTGAGCCCAGTAAAACCTGCCTGCAGCAGCAGCTAACACGCAAACCATCAGCTTTCGGCCCCAGCGCCGACACGCCCAGGCGTGTCGTCCACGCGGCATCGCAAGACCTAAAGCTGCAGCTATCTACTCTGCCTTGGGCCTAAGCGCAAGGGCACACGCGAAGCTTGCGAGTTCAGCTTGGATGTCTTGCCGAAATGTCCAGGGCTGCGGGATACGAACTGTTGCAGTTTGCAGAAAAAAAACGAGAGATGGGTGCTCTGTGCAAAGTGCTGAGACCTTTGCCTGTGAGAGCGTAAGGACCTTGCTCAGTTCACCGAGAGCCCCTCCGCATTGTGCCTAGCAAAGCCCGTGGCAGCTTGCAGCTCGCTAACCATCACGCGCCTTGCAACTGCAGCTGCCGCATCGGCCAGCAATTGCACTTTCTCGTCATACCTAAGTTGGCATGCATGTTTAAGAACAATCCAACAACTGAAACCCCACAACACCCTGACCTCCCAAACCTGAGAAGGCAAGTGGCGGTAGTTCTTGAGGCAACCGAGTGGATTGAAGCCAAACCACACCCAACACCTCAGAAGTTGGCTGTGCGACATGTTCTGCAAATCTGCCTTGCCAACAATAAGGTTCCAACAATCAGCACGACGACAAAGACGTGCCACAGGGCAGGTTGTGGAAGACGTTCCTGCACATTTACAATCGAACCTACAACGCACAGCCCGTTGAGTAGTGCCACCCAATTATAAACGCGATATGCAGGCCCGCCGTCATGTAAATGCTCCGCAGCGTGGGCGCACCATCACGCACTGTGACGGACCAAATCAGAGCATGTGCAACCACCGGGGAATCACATCTCGCAATGCTTCGCGGGGAGTGCCCAACAGGAATTGCAACATCACGTCTCCTGCCCCAACTCTCAACGCTAAACAACGTATCCTGATGATGGGCCTTTTCTTGCCCTTGGCCACCGTCTTCCCAATGGCCCAGAATGCTCCTATACAGCCACTTCGAGTTACATGAGAAGTTGCTTGAGCAAGCTACACAGGCAGTTTACAGCAGAGAATGCCACAGCAAGTTGCACGAGGAACATGCGCAAGAGTTTGCACAGCAAGTTGCACGAGCAAGTTTCAAGCAAGTTGCATGGGTGGTTGCGCAGGGAAAGTTGCGCCTGCAACTTGCATCAAATGAAACAAGGAAGTGCTGTCAGGATCAAAATCGAAGGTCCGTCAGCAAGCGAATAACATTTGTTTTCTGTTTCCCCCCCCTCCGATGAAAAATGTAAGGGGGAAGTTTCCTCTCGGGAAGCCCGCAGCCGAGTGCCGGCTGCACTGCCGCTGAGAATCCTGGACGAAGTCAAGTTGCACCAGCAGAGTCGGGTTGCGGCTCGTCGTCCGAGTTCCAAACCACCAACCAAGGCAAAGCTGATATGGCATTGCTGTTGCCGTGCTGGTGGCTCTTGTTTCCTGCTGTTGGCACGGGGTGGCCGGCTATGGCGAGATTGGCCGACACGAGTTTCCCGCACAGTGGCGCGTGCCCAAAAACGAGAAGGGTCGTTTTGCTCCGCGAGGTTGCTGGGCGCACTGGGCCGGAGGCGCCGGTTCACTCTTCCCTTGCCGGGACGGCAAACCGGCGCGCTAAAATAGCCTTTCACTGTGTGTGTTTTTCTTCTCGGGAATGTTCCTGCATCAGGGTTTGCACAGCCAAGACCTTGCAGTGAGAATCGCGCGCTACCAGTTTTGCACACAAATGCATTTGATCCATGTTATATTTTTCCATCCCGTGCACCTGTGGGATCGTAGCGGCTGTCTTCGACTCCGACTCGAATGGGCGCAACGCAAATGAAGGCCTTGCCATGCTTGCCCCTGACAACACCTTCTGGAGGGGGACGCCTATCTACCTCCAGCGGTGCAAAGCATCGCCGTGCTATGTAAGCTTGGATGCGCTCGTGCGGGCCCAGCGGGGCAGAATGCACACCAAACAGTTTCGTTTCTTGCAAATCCTCCCGAACCTTCCTGATTTGTTTATCCTCCTCGCCAGTAGGTGAAAGTGAAACGCCGTAGACTAGGCCTAGGTCAAGCGCGCTTTACGACCTTAGCAGCCCATCCGCCTTCGGAACCAGGCCGTCCCGCGGCGAGGCTTGTCAGCCGGGCCGCAGCGGCAGCCGGCTACGCCATGGCTCGCGACCGCTAGCACCTCGGGGAAGGGCGGCGCAGCTCCATCCAAGTCATCCTGGCCCGCGTTAGGCAGGCCAGCGAGGGTGGCGGCGAGGGCCCGGACCAGCGCTGGTGAAAGGCATGAAACGCTGAGGCACGCTCGCTCCCGTTTCGCCTCGCCGCTTCCTGATTTGCGTTGTTGTTGTACCGTGCCTTGCCAAGCACCAGCACTCACTGCTGCCTTCGCAAAGGAGTATGACGTCGCCGTTTGCCAGTGCCTGGCACCCTTGCCGTTTTGGTTGGTTGACGGGGGCCTCTCCCACGCAGAGCCGCCGCCCAGGCGGGTTGGGTTTCCGATTCGCTCAAGGGTTTGAGACGTGCTGATGCCTGTGGGGCAGTCCTGGCTGGACCTCACCAGGCTATGAGGGCACAGTGATGGACCTGACCCGTCCACAATCGCTATGTTTTTGTCACGTGCGCTCGCGCCATGTGGGCTTGGTGGCGCACGTGCTCGAGCTGGACGACCAAACCCGCTAACAGAGGTTTCTAATTGACCTTTCGCGTGGCAGCCAGCACAAAGCGTGTGAAAAAAATGCACCTGCCCCAGCCTTTCTGTGTCCGAGGTCAGCGCTGGCCGGTCTGGATTTCACGGCGCTGGGCCGGCTCACGGCACCGTCCCTGTCCTGGTGCCAGGGACCCCGCCGCTAAGGTCCCCGTAGGTGGCTAGCGTGTTTCACCGCTTGGGCAGTCGCAAAAGAATGCATGAGGGAGAGGGGAGAGGAAAAAAAGAAAAACAAAAAGCGGGGGAAGCAAAAACAGGCTCATCGGCCGCTTCTCGGATGCTCCGAGCCCAGAGCCCGTAGGGTGTGTTGCAGCCCAGATGTGCCGTGAAATTGTGTTGGAGACTCTACCCCCAAAACCAAAAAAAAACTAGGGGACCGTCCCAGCTAAAACATGAGGTTAACACTACCAAGGGTTGGCAACCAAAGCCGCAAGATGGCCACCGAGGGGAAACCGCATCATCGTCGCTCCAAAGCGACGGCGCCTGTCCGCCAGAGCGAGCAGGCTTGAGGGCGCCCCGGCCCCAGCACGGGACATCGCCAGCGAGAACGCAACAGAGGGGTGCAGCCCGGGCGCGCAGGCAGGTGGCGAGGGCGGCAAGCGCGGCAAAGGTGGAGCCCGGCAGGTGCCTCAAGCTAGAACAACAGGAACACCGACACATTGGTAAGGGGCACCAAAGAAAATACGTGACTGTGATGGCTAGCCATCAGCAAACAACCAGATCATGCCACATAAGCTCAAGCTGCGAGATCGCCAAGGCGGTGACCTGCTCCGACTAGCCGGCCCAGTGCGAGGCACCGCTGCAGAGGTCATCTTCGCAGTTGTCCCTGGCGCTGTGGAGGCTGAAGCCGGCGCAGGGGGCGGCACCGGAGCCGATGGACCTGCCAGTTGGTCATGGCCCGCACAATTTCCAAAACACCCTTGTCAAAGCTCATAAAATTACAAAAACAACTTACCAAAGCAATGCCAAGGAGCCTGCCACTGGTCCTGCAGTTCGTCCAGTGATTATCTCAAGGACGCATTGCCGCGCCAGTTGGACTTGCTCATTGCTATGGCCTGTGATGCGCAGCAGCCTCGGCCCACTGTTCCGGGCGCGAATGCTCACTTCGCAGCCAGTTGCAGATCGCACAGCGCTGCGGTCTGCCGCAGTGAAGGTCACCGTCTCATAGCCCTGGACGGCCTCCTGGTGGGTGATGGCCATGGCTGAGAGCTGTTCAAAGAACGAAACATTGACTGGCATGATGTTTCACACTAATCTTCAATGGTGTCTGCTGCATGCTGGATGTAAGTGGACACATGGTGTTCCATGGTTATGTTTGAAAATGGACACTTGTCTGCCTTGGTTTTGCCTGGGCTCAGGGCCATAGACTTGCTGCGTGCAAAACATTAAGACTTCAAGCAGGTCCACACAACCAACAGCAAGCTGCATGTCTGACATGATTGGATTGAAAGCAGTTTTCTGATTGAAGACCGCGGCTAGCCGCAGGCAACTATTCTACAAGAAAATGTCATTTGCAATTGCGTGGCTAGCCACAAGTTCCACATGACCACCGCTACATGCTCCACGTGGCTAGCCACAAGGAGGCAGACTGGCAGAAGGCGCTGACCATGTCACCAGAGACAAGCCACCACACACACACAAGACTGCCATGAGATCTATGACATTTGGATCTGCAATACACGCAAGGCTGGCAACATAACATACAAACTTAAAAAGGGGCGATGTTCCAAACAGTGGCTAGCCACGTGTCAATCATAAGCTGGACTTCATCATTGACAATGGCTGGAAACATGACTACGGCAAGCCAAAAGCACAATGCGGTTTGCCCAAAACACAATCAGCAGACATGAGTCACAGGGCACACAACAAGGAATTTCAGGACACGACAGTCGCAGGCAGGCCACGATTCCACAGAATCAAGCCCCCCTAAAGTCCCAAGAGACAAAAGCTGGAAAGGTGACAAGAGCTGCCTACAAATGCACTGCTGTACTTGGCGGAATCTCGAGGTCATAAGTCAAGGCGATCTGCGGCTTGATGGGCATGAGGCCTTTTGGTCGCCCACTTCACGGCCCAAATGATGTTGCAATGCTCGAACTTGCACGTGGAGAGCGGCACCAAGGCAGCCAAGGACGACGACCCCTTGAGCTCAAGGTTGGTGGCCTTCGGGCTGGGGATGTAGTAGACCTCATGTTTGCGATCAAGCTCGAAGTGCCTGGGGTCCTCAGATGGGGCGGGCTTCAGGGTGTGGTAGCAGATGTCAGCGGAAGCACGGCTGCCTTGCGCTGCGTTCACGAGGTCGCCCAGGGTGGTGAGCTTGCCATTGTGGAGCACCTTGGACTCGGCATTCTTCAGGTCGAAGAGAACATGCTTCTCCACATCTGATGCGCCTA